TGTAGTACGCTGATCATCAAAAGTGTAACATAACAATAACATTGCAGGAATGATCTCCTTTCAGGCAAATGAACTAGTTGAAATTGTATAAATTCCGTCATGAATAGTTTGTGTGGCCTTTGTTGAGAGAAATCCGTTTCCTTACAACAACTGGAGTGAACATTTTATAAAAATGTCGAGTAGACCTAGCATGAGTGTTGCTTTACAGTGTTGCCATGATGAGGACTCCGGTGATGAATATACTAAGGATTTTCGTTCTGATTCTGATCCTCCTATTTAGATGAACATGTGCAATGTCTTTTGCCTAGATACAGGTATAGAACTGATGCTCCCCATCTACTTTCTGGAATGTTGGGACAAAGGTTTTGCGCTCTGGGTTCTCAGTGTTCTGTGTGTGTGTGAGGGGGGGGGGGGAGAGAGAGAGAGTTCAGCAGTTTAAAGGAAATGAATGTAAGCCTGCAACATTCATTACAGTCAAGTTTCTAAGGTCATCATCTTTTTGTCTGTAAATGTTTACCCTTTTCACACTAGTTGAACCAAAACTTAACTACAGTCGTATATCAGTCAGCTTAGAAAAATCTCATTCTCTTTGGAGGAGGGAAATAATATTTTCACTCAGTGAACAGACATCAAAATATATATGACATTAGTTTAGCATTCTTCAGAGATCAATGTTACAAAGGTGAAATAGGCATTCACACAAACATGGAACAAACACTTATCAACAAAATTCAATGACATACTGGCATGTAAATGTGGACAAATATAACCATTTGCTGCTTGGCATCCCTGATAGAACTTCTGTGAAAAACAATATTGCTGCCTTGATGCAATTATTACTCATTCAGATTCAAAGAGAGGAGGAGAAAAAAAATTGTGCGCATTAACACTAACAGAGCATACAGGATTTAGTCTTCTGAAGCAACATCAATGAGTTTCAACATTCAAATTACCGCAATGACAAGGCATGATGTACATTCATATCATATTCCCGTGTTAAATCAATGCCTTTTAGGAAAGCAAACCGTTCAACAACAACAACAGGTGAACAAATTTTTTTCAGGTGGTAGGAAAAAAAAGTGGGAGAACAAAAAATACATTTTTTTGGTCTGGGGTGAAGGACAATGATAAAGTCGAGAAGTACCGTACCTGATATGATATAAAACGTAATTCGTCTCATATGATTTAAAAACTGATGATATCAACACAAGCATTCAGCTTATGAAAATCTAGATCTAATGGTTGGCAAGCGGTTCAAATGTATTAAGCCCAAAATTTTGATTTAAAAAAATTAAATTGCACTTTCTTTGTAGTGGGCTACTAGTTGCATGTCGGCCTACTCGAGCAATATTTTGACAGAATTATACTTCTAAAAGTTGAAGAGGGCAAGAAAAGAAACACAATGTGGGGATGACTGAAAAGAATGGAGTCGTTTTGACCCTCTTGAAAAATTTTACTATTTAGGCTTAGTGTACATGTGAACAGCTTGCAGGCATAATGTGAATGAAATCTTTTACTTTGCAGTAGTTCATGAACGTAAGCCGCAAACCAGGTATTTACACTTTTTGAGAAAGCAACAGCAAAATACATGGTTTTAGACACTTTTTAACAATATGAAAGACTTAAATCTTAGTTTTTCAAATATTTTTTTAAACATTATATCTCATTTACTATATATATGCTGAAAAGAATAGAAAGATGAATGGGGAAAGACTGCACTCTAGGCCAATACTAACATAAGCAACCTTTGCACATATTGCTAAAAAAAAACTTTTTTTTTTTTTTTTACAAATGACAAACAAATCCTACAATATGACAGCTGCCGGATGGGTTGGTACCAAAGTAGGGAGGGAACAAGAGAGTAACAAAATCTATGATGATAAGTACAAAGGAGTGAAATGTTACGACATCAGATGAACACGTTGTGGTTGAGACAATCTCAAACTCAATGACTGTGAATTGCAAAGGTTCTCTCTCCAGCAGGTAAAAATTATATCATGACTACTAAACCAATGTCTCATTCATTAGTGATAATAGTATGAAGTACAGACACATCAACTTTACCGTAAGCATATGTGGCAGTCTACACGCAAAAGTATCCTTGGCGACTCACGATCGGTCCCAGTAAAAGTTAACTTGAACCTCCCATTTTTTAAAATGAAAGTGTCTTACCCAAAAGGCTTTATGACAACTAAAATCTGGCCCCACTGAGAGTGAAGACCCCAGATTTGCAAACTCGATCAAGTTAACTCTACCCAATGAGGGGACGAGCCGGCGGGCAAGGTTTCTTTTACCTCTGCCCATGTAAAAGATCCCCAAAGTTTGAGTCATACCACACTACAAAATCATGAAATAGCAAAAACGTGCAACTTCATATCTAATGAAATCCCTTCCTATCCTATGTCAGTAACAATGACTTCACAAACTCTTTCCAGTCCAGTCAAGGAACAATTTTACAAGCTCAACTGTTTAACAACAACACCCCCCCCCCCCCCTTCCCCCAAAGAAAAACCCAAAACATTTACATACAGACAGATTGACAAAAGCACAGAAAATTGAAACCTGCTAACAATATATGTAACATTTTCACTTTTATGTGATGAACAGAAAGTAAATTATAAAAATAAAAGAAGTAAGAAACACGCTTTTTAAAAAAGATATTTTTTAATTGAATATAAATACCCCACATGTCTTCTCATGTCTACCACGACTCGGTGCAACCCTGATCTTGTGACACGGTCAGCTGAATCATTTGAACTTGTTTATTGTTACCACTGTACAGTGACCGTTATCATCTTAGATGTTTTGTTGTATCTCTTTGTTCTAAGACGATTTATGTTGGAACTTTTTGTGTAGGCCTATCCACTGAAAGAATCTCATTTCCATGGGATTCGTTGTTTTTTCCTAAGTGAGCTGTGACTGGCTATGCTGTGCATTTATTGAGTATTACAAAGTGTACGAAAGATTACGGGCAATTCATTTTATTTCTGACGCTATCTTTATTATTGCTTTCAAATAAAAGGATTTAATTTCTTCCGTCTGGGCTGAGACTTCATTTTTTCTCCCCACAACGGTTTTACATCAGTTCTTCCCACGCTATTTCCATTCCAAATCAATGTACTCCTACAGTAGAGCTTGTCCGACACGTCCTGCAGTATTTCTTTGTTCCCAGAAAGAAGTGTGGTCGTTGATAATTCTCATTAAAATCTCTACAATATTGAAGCAGTTGTATTACACTGAGCAATTCTCCAGGCATTATTTTCTTTTCGAAAATTATGAAATAGTACTGGGGACAGAAACATTCTTGGTTGGAAACTAGTCCCTGCAGCCCTCTTGGAAAGCCAAAAACACTCTGGATTTCTTTGTTGAGAGCTTCTGTTTTGGTACCATTGTCATTACATGCCATGCATTATAACTAACTGTCATAGTCATAGTCATAGTAGATTTGAAAAGAAAGGTCTCAATGATCACCATCCCCTTCAGAATCCAAAATATAACTTCCTTTGCAAGTTTGCATGGCAAGCAAAGAAAGTAAGGGGGGAAAAAAGAAAAGAAAACAGACTGTAACTTATTTCCAATGAGAAATTTGGGTTATAATGACATGTATAATCACTGAAAAGAAGTCATACCTCAATAATAATATTAATACAAGTATGACAATTTCACCAACTACAACATACTACACAAATCATGCATAGTATACAGAATCTCACCTCTCACATTCTAAACCTTTACAAACACACCATTACCCAATTACTGCTGCACAAGATCCACAACCCCATATTAACCCTTGCAGCACCTGGCAAATTTTAGCCCTCACTTCCCTGAGGCCCAGTCAATATTCATTGTGTCTGTAATTTTGTTCGGATATTAACCCCTTGGTTGCCTTATGACATGCCTGGTACGTCACAAAAATGTGCAATTTTTAGCTTTATGCTCTACCATGGATGTCAAGAAGTCGACAAAATTTAATTTAGTTTTAGTAAGAGTTTTACGGCACTTGCAACACAATGTTATAGAAGTGCCGAAGATTAGAGGTGTTACAAGCGAGTAACAAACACAAAAAAGGAGGAGGACAGATCAGGATGATAGATGTTTGGTAGGAAAGAAGGAGCAAACCACACCAGAGCACCTTAGCATTCCTGGTTGCCGACAAACATTACATGTACATCTCACTAATCATCTGGCTCTGATTCTTCTGTACGAAGATTTAGCCACACGCACCGTGTGGATTCTTATTCGGGGGGAAAAAAAGTGCTAGTATTGCTGTTATTACTTTATTGCCATTATTACTTTACTGATTCGCTTGTAAGTGATCTATAAACACAGGTCCAGCATTGCAGACAAAAAGTGTGTTCTCGCAAAACATACTCCCCAAACGACTTTAAATGGAGGCAAATATCACTCTTCCGACTTAGATTTGCAAGTTGTTTGAAATTATGGGCAAGATGGGAACTTTAAGGGACGAGGAAAGTGACACTATTGATAATCCAGGGTCCGAATATTTCATGAGTGAGCCAGATTTAGACGGCGAGTCCATCGACACTGAGACCAATAAAACTGCTGTCCTGGTTAACGAGACAAAAACTGAACATTAGCACTGACAATAAGAACAAACAGGAACACACACACCTTGGCAACAAAGGCGTTCAAAAAGTTATATTATGATTTTGAAAAGAAACAATAGAATATTTTTCAGAGAAGGCTAGATCATCATCATCATCATCATTGCCTTTCTCACACTTTCCACATTTTCCTATCCTGGGCTAGCCTCTTGATGTTATTCCATGTCTAGATGGATTTCAGTAAAAATATGCGAGTGAGTGTGAGATGACAGGTGGCCTGTGAGAGGGAGATATAAGCGACTGGGCCT